AGGAATGAATCTTCCCTCCTTTTCTCTCCCACACACCCCTGGCAAACCTCTTTCCATTTAGGCCTAATTGTGGCTCTTGTGGTAGCAGTCTTGCAGACAGTTACATGGGCAGTAGAGGTCACAGCAGGACTTGATGCAGCATGGGTATATGTCTGTAACTGTAACTTCGAAAAAGTGAGATTAAAGAAAAGAGACCGGAGAGGTAAATGTTCTACAAATAAGTTCTAATTCAGAAATCAAAAATGCCTTCATGATTGTGCTTTAGAAAGGTGAAATCCAGTGCTAATACATTAATAACAGTGACATTTTTTTGTAAAGAATCATCTTCGTTCCAGTTAAAGTGCCACCATTTGTCTTGGAGGTACCCTAAGATATATTTCTTTCCTCATTGAAAAGTTGAAAAAACACTGCAAACCCACTTTCATTTTTTAATTGAAACATTCTTTTAAATTCTTTTCCTGTTTAAAAGTGTGCGGTTAACTGTGCGTACAAAAACACTAAGTGTTTTTTCTGAGAGCCTTTTGGGTTTAGATGCCTTGCTCCTTGCTTGAGGTTTTTAGTTACCAGATCTTTGCCTTAAATCACAATAGTCTTCCTAGAGAAAGTTCTGATACTGAATATCTGGTAAAGGAGTTTGTGATATCCCCATCTGTTCTTAATACACATGGCCTTGACAGCAGCAGAAACTGAGAAGAAGAAAATATTGACCACGTCGTGAGCAGTCTCTTCGGTAAATTGAATGTTTTTCCACATACTCCGTGAAGTACCAGCTGAGATGGAAAGATGACTACTGAGGAATGCAGTGCCCCTGAAATTCAGATCACAGCAGACAATCTTCTGGTTTTGCTTATGTTGAAGAAATGAGATTGAGGAATATGTAAGATAGTTTATATTAAACTGCTAGCTCTTGGGTGGCTAAACAGCAAGTTCAATAACGTATGATTCTTAAACTTTCATAATGTGGACTACTCCTGGAAGAGCAAGGGTGATGGAGCAGGCTTTCCTCTGTAACGAACATGTAAGAAAACAAAGCACAGGATCTGCTAATGTGACTAAAAAGTTATACTTCCTAATAATTCAGCAGGCAGCATATGCTGTATGTACTTTACACAATTTACAAAAATAAGATACTGTACTGATGCTATATATGTTTTCAGTGCCTTGGGTTTGCTCTAAGGACCAGAAATGATGTCCAAGTAAATATGTAGGAAAACAATTATGCTATGACAGAGCTCATCTCAGGATGGTTTATGAGTTGCTCCGACCTATTCTGTTGCCCTTATTTAGTGCTCTCCCATTTCTTCTTACCTGGGGACTCCATTTTTGTCTCTGCATTTTCCATCTGGCTTAAAACTTTGTGTAAGGTTTAACATTTCCTTTTGGTGTAGAAGTGTTAGGTATTGCTGCATCTGAATTATCTGGCAAAGGCAGCAAGGATATTGAGTAAAATGTGTCCTTTTTACCTATCATGCTCTTACTGGATCAAATATACTATTTTTTCAGCATTTGGTGCCTCTAGTTTGGAAATCATAGGGACTATTTTTAGCATTCAGAATTGGAGGCACTGTCTGCAGAGAGCTCTCTGTTAAATGGCAGATTCAGCTCCCTTCTTGGGCAGCTGAGGCTTGGCAGTTTGATCCAAGTTCATGCATTTCATTCAAAAGTAAATGCAATCATCTTACTGCTGTGTGTTTTTTCCAGTTGCCATTCCAGCTGAATTATTTGTAATAATTACTGTGTTGTCTCTTCTTTTTCCTTTATGTTGTCAGGAGCAAACAGAGTGGGTAAGTAACCAGAGCTGGTAGTTGAGTACAAATATGAATAGAGGTGCTGGGGTAGCTGCAATTATATCTTAAGGGTGGAAGGATTTGTCTTCCGAGTCTAAAAAAACAAAATTGCTTTTGAGCTATTGAAGTATAAAAAATTCTCAGTAACACAAATTATAGTCATCCAATTTAGGCACATTTTTCTAATTTCCTCCCAATTCTTCCAAATTATTGAGGAAAACATCACTGTGAAAGAAGCAAAACTGAGGCAGCTGTTGGTCCTGAAACTAGCTTTGTATAAACAAGTTAGAGATATTGTTAGAGTTAGCGTCTTTACTGGAAGCCCGAGACAAATGCAAACTACCTGCAAAGAAGCACAAATATTTTCTCGTCAGCTAGTGTTTTTCTGGTCAGGACTGAGACATAGCAAAGACGGGGCAGGAGAAAGCTGACATTAATAATGCATACCATATCTAGTGATAAATTAAGGACTGTGTCCTCTGATAGCAGTTTCCATCTTATAATGGTAGAGAAGGATGGATATAAGGCTGGCAATGATGCTTTCCATTGTTGGGTTTGTACAAGTAATTAATGAGAATCAACAGCTGCATCCTGGGGACATAATCTACTGGGATACAAAGAAATTTATCTGAAACTGCATACTCTGGCATGATTCAAATATCAGTGGATCAGTGGAAGATTCCCATTGACTTTACCTGATTTTGGATTAGGCTTCATGCAGCTTCGTTGCTGTGTCTTTTGTTTTCATTTCAAGAGGGTGCAGGAAGCAATAGCCTTCCTCTATCTCCAACTGTATTTGTTTTCATATGAAATCATACCTTCCTGCAGAGCCATTCATTTTCCTGACATTTCAGTTCAATTAGTAGTTTCAACCCAGGGAATAGTGATGAAGGTTGATCCTGACGTGTGACCTATATGGGCTAGTTGTTTAAACGTGTTCTGTCCAGTATTTGGGTATTAATTCCTCTCCATTATTTCTCAGCCTCAGCTGTCTAGTCTGAGATCAAAATTTCATTCATATAGTGCCATCTGATAGCTTTGTAAGGAAGATTTTCTAACCATGGACAATAGTGTAATATTAGAACTTTGAAATGAGAAATCATTCTTATTCACTCTGTCAAAACTTCTAAAGGAGCTCATTCATGTGTTGAGTTAGAAACCATTTCTCCTTTTGTTGTACGTGTACAGCATTTTGCAGTTCCCAGCTTTCTTATCTACTTTACTATACTTCCATCTTGGTTTGTATTTATAGACACATTCAGTGTATGCACACAGAGAAGATTTAAAAGTCAGATGCAGCTTATGAGTTTTTTTTTTTGTGTGTGTGTGTGTGCATCTTTTCTGCAAAAGAGGATAACATATAATGTTACTGTAGAGCATTACCAAAATTTGACAGTGGGACTTTTGGACAGTTTTACAAAATGAGTTTAAGAACCGTTTCAGCTCAGGGGCCTCTGCCAAGCACTTGTTTGTGTGTGCAGAAGGAAAGGTTTTGGATGAAATTATAAAGATTCAGAATGAATGCTCAGCATAATTGAATATATTGGACCTTGCTAACCAAGTAATATGAAAATAATCTTAATATTTTATGTTGGAGGTCAGTGAGCTTTGATAACTGCTATTAAGACTGGAAAGGTTGGAAAAAATGGCTAATGTACAGGGAAAGTGAGAAAGATGGATGCAGAAGTTCAGATTTCCATTGCACTACAGGATCGCTCTGAGGGATTCACACTAACTACTTAATACATCTTGTGCCCCTCTCTGAGAGGCAATGCTTGCACGCTTCTAAGAAATGCATGAAGATGGGGCTGTGAAGATGACAAATGGTAAAGACCGTATAAATAGCTACAGAAGAGAGATGGATATATTTCACTTAGGCTCTGTGTCTTGCAAAACATTTGGGACACAGATCTTGAGTGGAACTGTTTACCTTCTTTTTAAGGACACATACACAGGAAAGTCACATTTATAAATGATGCATAACATTTATAAATGTGTACACTTGACAATGCATTGATCAAGCTTGAGAAATATGAAAAATAAGAATTTTGCTTAACTTATGGCCAGATTGCTTTCCAGCCCCAAAGTAATGTGCTATGAATATAATAAAGTGTACCATTCCTTCCCTCTCCTGCTCCATTTTTGTGCTAGAAGAGAGAAGCAAAGGAGCAAGTCATCTACTGTGATCTTCTACAGAAGATAGCGTTCACTCCTGTTCTGAACCCTATACTTCATTACCAGCATGTGTTGCAAATGGATCAGAGCAGTGGCTGTTTTCTTTTCCTTCTTGTCTGTCGGAGTTGGATCAGGTTGATCAACAATTGATTCTGTATTGGAATCAAATCAGATTCTCCTTCTGATTTGAATCTGAGAACCACAGCCCATTATTAGAAGTCTGTGCAAGAACGTGGGACTATGTCCCTCTACTGTGTGTGTTCCTCGATAAGACGAGTCACAAATCTTAATCTCTTATTGCCTATGTTTCATGCTGAAAAGCAGTTTGAGGTTTTGTGGCGTTACCATGTGGACAAGACAAAAGATTATTTTGAAAGTCTTCAGTAGTTTTTGCAAGCCTAATCCACATAACAGTCCCTGTTGTTGGCCTAGCTCCAGCAAAAAATACTTAAATATGTGCTTAACTGCAGACCACTGGGGTGATCCTACAGATTTCAAGTCTTTTGAGGGAGATGACCCATTTCTGTTGCAGTGATTAACTGTTGGCAGGACCAGGGGTGCAACTTTCATGTGTTTTGGTTTCCATAATGTCTTTTGCTGATTGTATCTGAGTTGATATAACCTCTTCAACAAATTACAACATGGCAATATTTGTGCATCTTGCTTATTACTATGTGAACTGTTTATCCTGTCACAGAGAAGAAAACAGTACTTTCTTTAAAAGCTTTAATCAGTAAAATGTCTGTAGAATTCTTTGTGTTTTTTGTGGATTTCTAAGGGGGGGGGTTATTTAGTTCATATATCACTCCTCCTATCACTTAAGAACTGCATTTTGCAGTGAGACATCTTTTATTGCTCTTTGAACCTCCATTTGAGGAATTTGCATCTCCTTAAGTACTGATAAGAGGAACTATTAGCAGTATGTACTTGAACAGCTTTTTATAGAGTAAAGTAGATTGAGATTTTGGGGGTTTGCAAATGCCAAGAGCTTGATTTACAGAAATAAAGAATGACCGCTTACCTTCTGGAAATACAGTGGAAAAATGTTTATAATTTGCAAACCACTGGGTAAACTTGTTGTATACTAAATGTGAATCAGCTGGAAGGCCTATAGGGCAAATTAAACACAGATGGAAAACATGACATAGTCTTGTAGCATAGCCTCTGTAGAGCTTAACATTTGACTGAGATAACCCTAGCAGCACTACTTTACTCTGTATTTGTTCTGGTGATTTAGGACCTCCTCAGACCAGCAGTGGAAATGAGCAGCATTCCTCAGCCTCTATCTTCGAACATGTGGATAGGATGTCACGTTCCTCAGATGCCAGCAGACGGGTCCCAAGCAAGATCCAGCTGATTGCTATGCAACCGATGGCAGCACCTCCGGTTCAGAACTCAGTGCTTTCTGATCGAGTAGCAGAGACCAACAAAATTAATAAAGAGGTATTTTTAAAGTGCTTTGAATGTTTGTGGAGGATTGTGTGCCCAGCCAAGAGGGAAGTGAAAAGTATCCATTTTCTTGTCAGGAGTTCCTCGTTAGTTCCTGAGGAGTTCAATTTTGACAGGTTACAGGAATAATCCTATTTCCGTCCAGAGAGATAATCTGACCGGTTTTTTTAAGGTCTTAAATACTGAGAGAGGAACAAATTTGATGGTCAGAGTACCTTGTGTTACCATCCTTTTGCTAGTCAGCAGGACATGACTTACGAGAGTTGTGTTAATGTGTGAGAATTGGAACGTCTGGCCCACCTTGGTTTTCATTCTACACCATTCTTTTGACTTTTCAGCAATTCAGGAAGTGGGTTATACAAACAAGTTATCTCAAGACATTCTAGGGTGTGAATTTGCAGCGCGTTCATTGCTTCCAGCTTGTGATATGTTTATATAACAGCAAACGTACAGAAACTTCCTGCTTTCTCTGAGGCTCATGTTACTGTAAGCAGAATATGAGCACGCCTGGGGCATTAGGAGAGAAGGTAATGCGCTGTAAAACCACATCATACACTGCCTGACAGTACCATGTACCTGCATCCTGGTTTTGTACTGGGTATAAGATGTCATCTTCTCATAATTCAGAGTGGAAGATTACTGAAACCTTTAACTTAATTGTGTTAAGATACTGTGTTTCTGAGTACCTTACAGAAGAGAGGTAAATGCATATGTCTAGTATACATAGGTGAGAGGGGCCACAAAACAGAAATCTGATTATATGGGCAGAAGACACATAATTCTAACTATAAATGTAAAAAGCAAGTCTGGCTTGTGTCCCTTTTATGCTTTTTGGGGGATTTTCATGAGAGAATACACAAACATCAATTTTTATTTGCTTTTTAATTTGCTGCAGCAGATGTGTTCCAGAACTAGTCCAGCACAGGCAGAGCAGTTGTTGCTACCTGATCTGGTGCCCAAGTGTTTTCCATTGATAAGAATTATTTCAGTGAGTGTTGGGCCAGGACTTAAGTGTGGTCCTACAATAGCTTTTCCGAGATCATGAGGTGCACTCTAGGAAATTTGAAAAAAAGGTGGGAGAGAGGCATGAAAACTCAGCCTGCGTGAAGACGTAGAGCTGATAACGCCATGTTCATCTAGGGACCTGGGCCTTTGTATTGCTGCTACGTTTCTGCATAGCTTATATTCTGCATAGCTTCTCATGCTTAGCAGAGGCACCGAGTTATGAGCTCAATTAGCTCTTTAATTTCTTGCTTCTTATGTGGTGAAGGTCATTAAAGGGAATGGGTGACAGACTTCACCACTATTGATCAAATGCATCTCTGTTTGACAAGCAAAGGTAGATGTAGCCTGTACTGGTTAGTCTTATTTTTTCGGAGCAGTGTCACTTCTGGCAGACAGCAGGAGTTTTTTGTGTTCCTCCTGCCTTTTTTTAACAAACTGCCACCTCTCTCTAATTGCACCTGCTGTGCTGGCAATCGTATTATGTATAATAGTACATTACCCGGGGAAACAGTGGGGATACTGCAAAATATCCAAGAAAGAAAGTGTGTTTACAAATTGTGTGACTTATTTTAATCCTTCAGAGATTTGGGGGAGGGAGGGGCAAGCAGGGAATAGAGGAAGAGAGGTTTACAAAAGAGCAGCAAAAAGTTCTGTTTGCAAAAACTACAAATGAAACATGCGGTTGATTTTTTTTTTTCCCCTCCTTCTTCAAGATACAAACAGCCCTGAGGCATAAATCTGAGATTGAGCATCACCGCAATAAGATTCGTCTTCGTGCCAAGCGCAAAGGGCACTATGAATTTCCAGTGGTGGATGATGTGGTAGTGGTTGACTCCAAAGAACAGCACAGAATATACCGCAAGGCACAGATGCAGATTGACAAGATCTTGGATCCTGGAGGCAGTGTGCCTACTGTCTTCATAGAGCCCAGGAAGAGGTAGGATTTCAAAGATGGGAAAGAACAATTTTCTTTTAGAGTCAGCGTCCAAAGTATGTCAAACCTGTACTTCTGAAGTTTCAGAGCTTAAAATCATTTTGATCCCTAGTTGGATTTGAGTTATCTAAGTGAAAAGGTTTGGGTTGTTCTAAACATTTTTATTTATTTCAGTATATGCCAGTGTGTTTCAGTATGTGCCAGAAAAAATTATTCTTTTACAAGTTCTCAGGGGTGAATTCTCAATAAATAAAGCCAAATGTATGAAAGTTGTCTTAAAACAATTTAGTATTTGCGCTGCCATTTGTTTGAATAATTCTTGTGTGGTGTAGAGGGATCAAAATTGTAATGTAAGCACTAAAAAAAGAAACATGGAAAATACAAACTGCAAGAAATAATATTTTTATAAAGGGGGGAAAAGATGCAAAATAAGGAAACCCTTGAACAGCTTACAAAGCATGAAGATTCTGAATTTTAAAGGCAAATTCACAAATCAACAAGATAACCTTTTACATATTCCCTCTGGGTGATGAGGCATGTTTGTCAGCCTCACAGATCTGCCTTCCTGGCATTATATTTCCAGAGAAGGTCTTCCCTGGGCTGTGTTTAGAGCTTATGAATACTGGCACCTGTTCCTGGAGCACTGGTACCCTGTGACTGCTTCTGCACTGATAGAAAGTAGCTTTTCCCCAGCTACATGGGTTCCTTAGCTGGTTTGCCTGGTAGGGTTAAACCCAACATGCCAAGCGCAAAGCCTTGTTGGCAGCGTGGTCTGTTCTGCTGCTGCAAATGTGTCAGACATTGGTCTGGGAGGTCTGGAGAGGCACTGGCAAGGGCTGGAGCATGGACAGCTTTGAAAGATGGATGTAGAAGGGAAGTGACACTGGAGAGAGTTCAAGGGAGGAGGGGGACAGTTTGGAGAGCTGTCAATGAGAGTGTTGTTAGGAGAAGCTTGAGGAGAGAGATTCAAGGCTAACTAATGGGACTGGCATAAAAAACTGGGAAAGGGAAGAGAAACAGGGCTGAGGCAAGGATGGCTTGGAGAGAATGGGCAGAGGAGCTCAACCTTGAGTGGGGTGAGAAGAAAAATTGTAAAAAGAAATGTGATTACCTTTATCTTGTTTGTTTTTTCTCTCTCTCTGCTTTTTGTTTTCTTCCTGTTAAGTTCTCGTGCAAAACGTTCTCCCAAGCAGCGTCGGCGACATCAGATGAATGGTAGTCCTATCGATGCAGAAAAGGACAGGTTAATCACAACTGACAGTGATGGGACATACAAAAGGCCTCCAGGAGTCAATAACTCTGCATATATTGTATGTATGTCTCTTGAATGACAGGAGTGCTCTGATAATTGTAATGGCAGTTGTGACATGGAGAGGTTTTTGGCCTTCTGACTATGGTCTGTAGAGCTAATTTCAGTTACATGTAGTTAACATGTAAATCAAAGTGAAACTAGGATTTCATTGGCTGTCAGTATTAAGCAGTAAAATTCTGCCAAGTATTCCTGGATAATAAAGAGGCCAAGAACCAAAACCTTGTTTTCATTAATGCCACTGTATTATGCACATGAAAATGTGCTTGGCATGTTCCACAATATGTTGAACATAGTTTCATTCTAGTCCAATTTGCTGGATGTTATATATTGGTATGTTACAGAAAATTTCATCCTTTGCTCTCACAGAGTGGAAGACTCAGTTCCTTTCATGAGACATTTTCTCATCTTTAAAATGTGGGAATTAATTATTAATGAAAGAGAAACATGTCTTTGTACTGCAGAAACTTGAAACAATTCCAGTACAATGTCTTGAAAATTAATTTTGTTTCCGCTCTAAAAAAGGCAAAGACACAGGAGAATGCTTCTGTTCGATCATATCCATGTCACAAACTGTATTTAGGCATCTTTAACTTCTAAGCAGACTTTACTAAGCCTAATGCTAATATTGGAAACCCCTGGACAGTTTTCATCTTGAAAGATGGTTTAATAATTTTAAGAATTTCACCATTAGCTGCATATGCAGTCAAGTGACCACAATGTCGATTTCTGCGGTTTCCTTCTGCGTTCAAACAAGAATGTGATGATTTTAATGTCATGCTGCAGCAGAATGAATTATCATCTGAAGCTGTTTAATTAAGATGTGTCACACAGCAAGCTCAGCCCCTTTGGCATCTGTAGCGAGACAGTACTCAGAATGCTAAGTTCCCAACGAAGTAGAGGCTTTTGCATCTTGACGACTGATTTTGCAGTCTGCGCGCAGTGGTAAGAATGAGCTTTGATAATAAGTCTGCTGCTGCAAAGCTCGTTTAATTTCCTGTTACTGATGAACAATAAGCCCATGTGGTAAGATCCCAGGTAGTAATTGCAATGCATGCCTCAGGTATTGCTGCTATGAAGCACTTATATGAATCCCATTCAGGTGATGATGCACCCAAGTTCAAGTTCTGTGCAGCAAACCACTTAGTTGCTTAACAGCTCCCTTTGTGTGTTTTTCTAGGAGGTAATAATTTTTTAATATTACTGCTGATGTGGTCAGTTGTAAGCTAAAGACTGAATTAATTTCTTGGAACTGCAAAAGATGCAGAGAAGTCAAAGATGTAGACAGAGCTGATTGTCTTTTCTAGGTGGAGCAAATGCTCTCTGCATGACTTCAGTACATGCTTGCAAACCGCAAGATTTCTGTTATAGCTGAGTAACTCTTGCACAAAGCTCCACTGCCTTACCTGAGATCAGAGTGTTTCAGATCACACACACATTTGAACAGGTGGTGTCATGTATGTGCATGCATACGTGCATGCAGAAGTGGGGAAGGTAAGGGGCAGGTTTTGTCCAGCACCGGCACTTGTGCCATTTATCTCATTGTGGTTCTGGCAGAGAAAATGTTGCTCAGACTTAAGGCCTACAGGGGCTTGGAAGCTGGCTGGTTAGACCTTCTCTCTGGCTGCCCTTCACATTCTTTCTGTTTCCTCCAGTCTGATCCAGACTTGCCTCCTGAACCTCAGACATCATCTTCAGCTGATCTGGGGAAGTTCCCCGGCTTGCCTTCCCACCCAGTCTCCCAGTACGTCCCACCGCAGCCATCCATTGAAGAGGCTCGGCAAACCATGCACTCGCTGCTGGATGATGCTTTTGCGCTGGTGGCTCCCAGCAGCCAAGCAGCCAATTCCACAGCCGTCACACCACCCGGGGTCTCTGCAGGACAGCCGGTAAACAACACTCCTGCTCGAGCAGGGAGGGGAACCACATGCACCCAGTGGGGATCACCTTATGGTCCAACTCAGGCAGTAAACAACCCATTTAATGTGAGTGATTCAATTTAAAAGGCTTTTCTGGGCAGGTAGTTAGCACCAGTTGAGCTGTGGTCACTGTTATTGTGCCCTTGCTGTCAGGACTTATCACAAATGTGGAACAGTTTCTGGAACCAGGAGAATTCAGAAACGACTGTTGCAAGATGGTGAACTTGCTTTTTAAGCCGTTTGGATTCTTTTCCCTTTTCCTATCCCAACCACAAGAGAAGATAGGAGTTCTCCTCCTTTAGGGTAACTTTTCTGTTCTTCTCAGTTACCATCTTTCACAGATCAGTCTTGTTACGTCCAAGAGTAAAGCTTTATTTTTTAAAATATATGTGCTAGTTCATATTTTGACAACGAAAAAAGAATGTGTTGGGCTTAGGTCATATTTTTCAGCAGGGCATCCAAATGCTTCCAGGAGGTGAGGGATAAGGAAGCAGTATTTCTGTGTATGATTTTTTGCATTTTATGGAGCACTGAGACACATGGATAATCTTTTAGGTAATCTCGCGTTCCACAACAATTCAGTAGAAGTTTCATAATGCCATTGGACTCTTGAGTCCAAGCCTCGTGGCCTTTCTGCTGCAGTCTGATGCTGGTTGAGGTATAAAGAGATTTCCAAATGCAAAGCTTCATTTGCTGAAAGTTTTAAGCTAAGTAGACATTGGAGCAGCCCTTGATCTTGTGCAAGTGAGAGGAAGTATTTTTGAAAGGTTTTTAAGTTAAGACTCTGATCAGGCAGAAGAGAGTGCTAGCCCACTGTAGCAGTGATTCCCAGATCTTGTGCTGCTGGGTTTGTAAAACTAAGCTCTTACGGTTGCAATCAAGTCACACATACAGGCCTAGTGATCTCTGCCATTCGTCACTTAAAAGGCTGACAGTGGACTCCCCAGGGTATGCATTTTGATTTTAATTTGTTTTTTTTCATTCTTCTGACAGAGATACGTGGAATTTGGAATGACTCCGCCAACAGCACCAGGTCTCCTACCAAGGTAGCTTTTCACTGACAGAATTATCATTTATTATTTTCCTTGCAATTCCTCGAGTTCTTACTGGCACTGGTATATTATTATGCAAAGTACTGTAGAAATGAGAAGTAACAGGAGTCCAGATCCAGCCTGCGTAATTTATTTATGTAGCATGAATGATATATGCATGCTGTATGGAATCCAAGCCTCCATTTAAAAGAAATGTGTTTCTAGCTCTTTGGCTATAGAGATACGCTTCCAAATACTGAGTAGACCACTGAGTTTCAGCTTTTAGACAGTCTGAAACAGTTACTCAGATGCATGTAATTCTCCCAGTATTCTCGCTTTCATCTTGTTTCTGTAGCCTCAGGGCAACACTCACTCGCAAAAGCTTGCAGATGACTAAGAGATTCATTCTATTTTTAACCAAGTTGAGAACAAATTACAGACCATGGTGACCCTTGCAGAGAAAGCCTGCCTTGCAGGCCTATTATTATAAAATCAGGAGGGAAGAACAGATTTTCCATCTTCTCCTGGCCTTGCTGTGGGAGAATCATGTAAAGAGAAGAAAACAATTGTCCAGGTGACTGTTAATTACATGTTTGGTATCTGTTTTAACTACACGTGAAGTTGGACTCTTGAGTCGTCGTACCCACTGTGGTCAGACTTGTCTCACCCTCTCCAAGCTGCTGCAGCCAAGGTGGTAAAAAGGTGGCTTCATGCCGCTCTCTCATTACCTTCTTCCAGGTCACCATGTGAGATGAAATCCCATTGGTATCAGTGTCATTCATTAGATTTCACCTAAAGTCTTCACTGCCTTGGAAACTTGATGGTAAAATGGATATGAAGAACTTTCCTTTATCCATTGTTCTGCAACCTGATTTTGAAAAGACCAGCTAGAAAAGGAGGAGTCTCTAAGCACATTTTATTACTTAGGTCTTGGCTGAAGGTGACAGTTTCAGTGTGTGTGGAGCATACATGAAATGCACACAGTATGCAATGCAGTGTATTTTTTGTAATTTCAGTTACCTTGAAGATTGAGCTTTGAGACTGCCAACAGAAAGCATAACCAATTGTTTGTTATTGAGGATTTTCTCTTTGTTAGCCTCTTATGCATTCAAGGGAAATGTGATAAATTAATCATGAAAGTGCTGTAACCCATGTTAATACGCCTGAGCAAGATAGTGTCTTTGCAACATATTTTTTGTTCAAAAGTGTATCAACCTTTGGCATGGACACTCTGGATTTCTTTAAGTTGCAAATTAATGGCATCATTATTAATAGTTCAAATGCTGGCTCTGCCAGTGCTGGCAGATTAAGTTAACGATCTGCAAGGTCGTTGGCCTTAACAGGAAGAATTCCTTTAAATTTTCATTAAAATAGAAGGTTTCCTAAAGCTCGGTCAATAGAAAACAAGGAAAGAGTTGTCATGGTTGTGGAGTGGGGCTTATGCTGAAATTCGGAAGATAATTATAAACAAATTGATAGAGACAGTGCACCAATTAGAGGAAGGAAAAATAACCTGAGGTCAGTATGATTACGTGCCATATATCAATGTCATAGTCCATGGGCTTAAATATCCAATGCATGGAATAATAGTTGGGTGACCGTACTGTTCCCTTCTCTGTGCAAATGCAGTCAGCATCTTTAATGGGGTGGAACCAACCTGGGTTAAAAAAAAAAAAAAATTTAAATGTAAAAGACCTAGGTCACATAACAGCTAGGCAAACATAAAGGCACAATGAACAGCTTTTACCAGAAAATGAATATTGCATCATGCAGCAGAGATAGAGATGCATAGCCATAGTGGGTTAGTGGTGTAAAATTGATTTCTGGGGCGGTATCTCCCCACTTAATTAAATAACTAGAGATTAATAATTTTTTTTGAATGTGCAAAGATGAATTGAAGGGTGGGTCTCAGTGTGGAAATAGGAAGGAGAACTAGAAAGCTTGTATGATACGGATTCAGAGTTGTATCCTGTTTTTATACTCTTCTGTTGATCTCTGACTTTAAAGAGTAGCTATATCTATCTATTATAAAGAAGATTGAGAGGAGAGGGTGATGGGTTATCGAACGTGCACCTTTCAAGTACAAACCTATCGGCAATAAAGGATATACTTCCGGTCCTCTGAAAAATTGGCTCAAAAATAACACATTTGCAGTAATGTTGAGAAAATATTTTCTTTAGACAACATCAAAAAATTGTAGTAATTTATCAGCTACAAGATTCCAGCTCAGCATTGCAGGCATAAAGGGCCAGGTGATCACATGCTTTACTGGTTACAGTAATTAACATAACAGAAGTGACATTGTTAAACATTACCTACCCATTCAGGCATTTATTTTAACTAGCTTGTAAGTCTGGTTGGAAATGGTTTCCTCTGGATCTGCTGAGTGGACAGGTGGGATTGTATGCAAGGGAGCTGGGGAAATTCTGACACTTCCACAATGGGATTGTTGCAGCTTGAACCACTTATACCGCCTCCACTTAATACTGTATGGCAAGTAGCTAGTACTTTAATTTACAATTACTTGTTTGTGCTTTATTGGGGTCTTATTTGGCTTTATTAGGCTATTTATTATTATGTCAGCTTTCTTTGCTATCTGGCTGTCATACAAAGGTGGTTAGTTTTCCAAATAAAGCACAAATCAAGAATAGTTTGAATTAGATGCAGTCAAGGGATTTTCCTGTAAAACAAAAGGGTGTAAAACTGAGGTCTTGAGCAATGGGATAGGTTGCAGTCCATAGCCTAGAAGGGCTTAGATGCCGTTCTCGTAAAAAGCATATAAAATTCGTCCCTATTCCTCCCTTTGTGTAATTTCATGTGCCTGACTTAGGATGTTTGTCTCACTTTGCTTCCTTTATACTCACCAGTGAGAGGCTCCTGCAGAAAATTATTTAGTGAACCTAATCTTTTGCTTTGAATGCCTCCTGAGGAGTGTGTCTCTCTTCTTTGATCATACCTGGAGTCTAAGAGAGACTAGCCTAGTAACCTAAGCACCTGAAGTTTGGGCATCCACACCTCCACTGTATTGACAGGCATCAATAATCCTTGAAAACTCAGCTGCCATCAGTCTTTTACAATATAATCTCACCACGCCAGGGTTAAGATATGCTAATGGGAAGCACAGGAAAAGCAGCGTTTCCATCTTCTCTACTCCTGTTCTGTGAATGAATTATAGGGTTTCTTTTACAAGTCCTATTACCTTGGCACAATAATGAAGTCAGTTCATACGTGCTAATGACAGCTTTGAGTAGTTTGATGAATCTTAAAGAGCAAAGTTTTGAAAATTTCCTGAGAAATTATCAGAACGCTTGATGAAATAATAATTGTTCATGAAATACACATGTAATGCAGTTTGTATTATTTGATTTAGACCAAAACTCTGTGCCCAGAAACTCAAGTAAGTCAGATTTGTTGCTAAGATAAGCAGCTACATCACTACTGAAGTCTTCTTTTTCTTTTTTTTTTTTCATTGAAGATGCTTTTTTTCCCTAAGGGGAAAACAAGATCTATGGGCTTTTTTTCTCTGCACTGGGAGACTGCAACATGTGGAAAAACACTTGTGTGAAATTTTGTTAGAGTTTCTAACTCCTATTCCTGTGCAGCGCAGGTCATGAAGGAGGAATATATTCCTCAGATGTAATTATTTTCTTTAACATTTAAGGTCAAAATGTACATTAAAAGGCATCATAAAGGGTTGTTGTATGAGGTACACCTGCATTACTGCTTCTAATTAGGTAATTCACTTATTGTAATCTTGAGTCCTTACTTTTCCACAGGCAGAACTTTGGGCCAGGTTTTCTTCAACCTGCAGAGTTAATGCACCCAGACCAGCAGCCACCTGAGGCTCAGTATTCCTCCAGAGGGATATACTCAGAGGAAATGCCACCAGTGGCACGGCCACGACCAGTTGGAAGCACTGCAGGTACACTTCACTTAAGTTGAATATGCGCTAAAATGACTGATCCTTTTCCGTATCTGCTCTTACACTGAGGTCACCATTAAGACGTCATTCTCCTTCAGCTACTACACTTGAAATGTGGTCCTTGTCTTCACTGCCAAAAAAAAGTGATCACAAATTGAGGTTAACTTTACATCCATAGGACCTTGCAGAAAAAGGCAGTGCTTTGCCACCTTTTTAGTATCTTACAAGTATTGGTTATCACAGAGCGTATTTTCAAAAAAACCCATTCTCCAAGAATGGAAAATTACTTAATTGTTTTAGAGCATACAGTGTATGCTAACTTTCCACTGCTGACTATTTCTTTTGTGCTAAATGAGCTAACTGATGCATCCCAAATTAGCCTGCTAAATAACAATTTTTTTAATACTTTTCTGCATCTTTCTTTCTCATTTCTCTTCCTAGAAATGTATGCATAAAAGCAGGATCTTTTAGCTTCTGATGATATTATCTATTGCTGCTGTCCCATATGAAATCATCTTCCCTGATTTCATTGTGAGATAATTTCTGTAGCACTCATCAATGCTATCATGAATAAGATTCTAACATCACATGGCAATTAAGCAGCAAACACTGATTCTGAGAATAAAATATTCTATTCTTATGCAAATGCCACAGTTAATTTTCTCCCAGAGAAATGTTTTCTTCCTGGGGAGTTGAAAAAGACTGGAAATATGATCATATACTCATGTCAGAGTCCTAGTTTTGATAGCTGCTATCCTCTCCCTGTAGATGTTAAATGAATGAGAATGACAGGGATGTAGTGAGTGTTACAGTTTAATGATGATTATTTTATTGTCTGATTCACACTATTCTCTAAATGTTTATGTATATTCTGCTTTAAAGTTTGGAGGCAATTCAGATTATTAGTTCCTGTCCTTCAGGTTCATTATGTGCAAATATCAAACTTCTCAAATATGGGTTTTTTGAGGGGAAAATATGAAAGTGACCTAACTGTCCATCACGTAAATCACACTGTTTTTGTCTTTTCCTCCCTTTTTGTACATACGCACACAGTTTTCTCTTATGTATCTGTGGGTTTATTAAATGTTTCTAATGAATAATAAAATATAATAATAAAATAATTTTTGTTTCCCTGTGGGAGGAAATTCAGGAAAAAGGAAAGCTGGCATGTTGTTACATGTCTCTTGCAATTAATGGTGGTGGCTGTCCTTGCATGTGTTTGAAAGCAGCGGGAGGGAAGGGAAAGGAGAAAGGAGGAGGTTAGCTTTCAGGCTGAAAGGAGATACAGTGTGTTCTGACCTTCTTGTTAGTCAACGACAGCATCGTTTAATATTTAACCACAAAGCAAAGCTGAAAGAACCATACTCTTACATAGTCATGTATTTTGTTCTTCTGAGAGATGGAATAGAAAACAGTCTGAAGAGTTAGGATCTTGCCAGTGTGATGCAAATAAGGTGTACCACAGGAGCAAGTGTCTTCTCTTTGCTGCTAAGTAATTTACATGAAAGCATTGCCAGGGCTTTCAGTAAACGCTGTTTGGAAAGGGCTGGCATATTTTTTGAATGAAGTGTAGTCCATGTCTGAGATGCATGTATCTCAATCTCTTCTTTCAGTGCAGTGGTAATGAAAAGCATCACACTCAAATGAACTCCACAAAATGCACGTAACTTTTCCTTCTTTATTCTACACTGACAGCCTTCTTTCTGCTGATTTTTTTATTAATTGCACAGAAACAGAGCTCCACTTTCTTCTTGTCTCCTGCTTCCAACAAAGTTTTATATTGTCATTTGTCTGCCCTACAAACTTTACTGTGTATAAAGATGAAAAAACAATATTTGCTTTTAAGGTTCTCAGATACAGCACCTCACTCAGGTGGGAATTGCTAGCAGGATCGGAGGTCAACAAGTGGAGATCCCCTCAGGCAGAGCAGGGCATGGCCAGCCGGGGGGGCCAGGGTGGCCGCAGTACCGTGGAGAGGATGAATATGCTAGGCGAGATGCAGTGAGTACTGTGTTACACATTTGCATAGTTTCTGAAGTAGTGATATGTTCGGGTATTTTTTTTCCTGCATTACTGTTTGGAACTTTTTCCTCCTGGAATACTTTCAGTTGCTTCTCTGACATTCTTTGCTTTGCTCTTCGAACGCTTGTTAGCTCTTCTAACTTCTGCTTGCTGTTTTTTCACCTTTGCTTCTCTCTAACTGCTTTCTCTCACTTTACCCTAACCTTTTTTTTTTTTTTCTCACTTGAGGCCTTCACCCATTAATTGCAGTTCACCCAGTTCTGCTTCTGAGCTCCAGCAGAGGTGGATACTGCTTTCCATTTTCTTCTTTGAAATAATGCCTCTGTATTTTGAGATCATTGTAAGTAGAAAACATTGAATTAAATTGTCCCAGACTACCGTCCTACTTTGTATTGGTATAGTTCTTTTGTCTTCCATATCAGTGCACAACAGCAGGAGTCAGGGCAACAGAATAAGGCACATATTTCATGTAACAGTAGAGGTGTTTCTAAACAAGTTATTTTTCTAGCCTCAGTCAAGAGGATGTGGTAAATTAATATGTATTCATTTACCAGTGTTGCCTAGGCAGCCATCATGATTTCATGTTCTTGGCAGTCGTGCTTCTAGAGGTTGACATTGCTGATTCAACCAGATACGTGAGGTTGAAGATAGTATATGGCCTTTCCAGGAAAGATACAGTTGCCTGCTACCAGTCCATGTTTGATGTACTTGCATCCTGAAGCAGACTGACCTGTGACAGCTTTATTGTAGTACTCTTGAGGGCAACAACTTCATGCTCCTTCTTTTGCTCAAACTTTCATTTTTCTGGTTTCTTCCTTGAGGGAGGAAGGAAGGATCTCCTCCTTTGTATACTTAGGGCAGCGTGTGTTCACGCTACTTGAAGTTGCTTTGCAGTATTGCATGATCTCAAAATGGCTTTACATAAAGGAAATGCAACAGGATGGGCCTCATCTTTAGATTTTGAACTCCAAATGAACTTGAGCAGCATAAAGCTTTTGAGAACTGGGCACACTAGAGACAAACTCTACTTGATACTATTCAAAAACTTTAACTGTCAAAGCCAAAAGATGTATTTGCCTAACTTAACTTACTATCTGTGCTTGGAACTGTGGTATTTGAGTACAAGAACATCATAATTTCAGTTTACATCTAGAAGAGCACTTGCATGAGAGATCTTAGTGTCTCCCCTGTTCCATTTTCAGAGGCATCTCTAGGTTACCCTTCATTGGCCCTTCTTATCATTTGTCTGTCTTTTCTGAAAATGACTTTTCTTTTCTAGATCTGTGGGCCTTTCCCTTCTGTCCCCCAAGTGCATGTTCAGCCATTACTTACTTAATATTTTATTATTTGAACTGCTAACATATTACTGAAGATTCGGTTATGGACCCATTATCTGAGATGCTATGCAAACAGTTGGTTTTGACATCACTTACCTGCACAACTTTCAAAGATTCATTGCCCAATACAATATGATTTGGTTGCAGTTTGCACCTTCAGTCACCATTTCAGATGGGTACATGTCACCTCAATCCAGGTTGACTTTCTTTTAATTAATCAGAGTTTAAACACTTCCTCAGCTTTGACAGAACTTTTTGCTCACTGGTTGCTGCAATTCATATGTTACTGCAATGTGATTTTTTTCAGTTTGTTTTTTTTTTTTAATAAAAAAAGCACAAGGAGGAGATCATAGACTAAAACTATCTGAGTATGGTGTCATTTAGTTGTAGGAGAGCTCACCTAGTCCCTGCACTTTCCTTTTCCTATGAGGTATTCTTCCTTTTTTTGCAAAGGATTATTCCCATTAAAAAAGAAAAGCATTATTAGATGAGCCCTAGTCTTGTAGTTTTCTGTAGTTAAATAATTACCTTCAGAGTTTGGATTCCTTCACTAGTACAGAGCTCTAAATTTGTCTTTCCTCCTTTTGGAAAGGAGGATTTACTTAATGACAGTCATGTTCCTTATGGTGCAGTATTCCACTGATCCTTTGCAAACAGTCTTACTGTTCCCTCATTCTGAGCAAGTTTCTAAAATTAAACTCTGCATTTAGGAAGATTAGATCTAGAGCGCTCTTCTCACCCGCAAACTCGAGAGGGATCTGCATTTGTGTTCCTGCAATGGAACCTTTACCTCACAGTATCCTCACCTATTATTCCTGCAGTCAACACCTGATTTTTCTGCTGGAATGAGACCTCTCACTTGTATCTCCTGACCCAAAGCCAGTGTGCAGGTTACCATCAATTCACCTTGATCCTCCATCTAGAAGGCCTCGGCAACCCGGATAACTACAGCATTTCCTTAGCTGACACAAAATACGATACTGAGCAAGTGGTCATTTGGGCAGCAGAACAAATGAAGCCTGGTTTCTTACGGGTGTAGTGTCTTGCATACTCTACCTCCCTACCACCACCTGATATCACCTCCTATCCATCTACAATCCCCTATAGCTCTCCACTGTTCTCCCAAGTCTTCAGGCTTCCAATGTTTCCCCCAAGCCACCCTTATCCTTTTACTCTATTTTTATACTCCAGCTGCCCACCATAGCGTCACTAAACCATCTCACCATACTTCAAGTTGTCTCTCATGTCCCCTAGCTATCTATCCCCTGTGACATACATGCTGGCTGACAGGTCCAGCTAAGCACAGCCTAACCTGGCCTTTCTGCCACTCAGAAGCAGATTCAATGATAGCACAAATCAGGTTATGTCTAATTAGCTACCTATTTTTGTGAATTTTAGAATATATATCTGTTCATACATATACATATATACGTGTGTGTGTGTGTGTTTATATATCCATTTGATTTAGTTTAAATTGGCCACAGAGTTCAATAGTTATTAAATGGAGATTAAGAAATTCACAATGTGATCTCATAAATCTTCATTCCTTAAGAAGGAAGATTCAATACAGATATTTTTGTCAGTTATTTTTTACTGTTGTTAATTATACAGAAGTTTCTATATAAAAATATATAATTTATAGATATTGTATAAAACTATATATTGTTACATATATAATATTATGTTTTATTATTTGAACTGCTAACATATTACTGAAGATTCGGTTACGGACCCATTATCTGAGATGCTATGCAAACAGTTGGTTTTGACATCACTTACCTGCACAACTTTCAAAGATTCATTGCCCAATACAATATGATTTGGTTGCAGTTTGCACCTTCAGTCACCATTTCAGATGGGTACATGTCACCTCAATCCAGGTTGACTTTCTTTTAATTAATCAGAGTTTAAACACTTCCTCAGCTTTGACAGAACTTTTTGCTCACTGGTTGCTGCAATTCATATGTTACTGCAATGTGATTTTTTTCAGTTTGTTTTTTTTTTTTAATAAAAAAAGCACAAGGAGGAGATCATAGACTAAAACTATCTGAGTATGGTGTCATTTAGTTGTAGGAGAGCTCACCTAGTCCCTGCACTTTCCTTTTCCTATGAGGTATTCTTCCTTTTTTTGCAAAGGATTATTCCCATTAAAAAAGAAAAGCATTATTAGATGAGCCCTAGTCTTGTAGTTTTCTGTAGTTAAATAATTACCTTCAGAGTTTGGATTCCTTCACTAGTACAGAGCTCTAAATTTGTCTTTCCTCCTTTTGGAAAGGAGGATTTACTTAATGACAGTCATGTTCCTTATGGTGCAGTATTCCACTGATCCTTTGCAAACAGTCTTACTGTTCCCTCATTCTGAGCAAGTTTCTAAAATTAAACTCTGCATTTAGGAAGATTAGATCTAGAGCGCTCTTCTCACCCGCAAACTCGAGAGGGATCTGCATTTGTGTTCCTGCAATGGAACCTTTACCTCACAGTATCCTCACCTATTATTCCTGCAGTCAACACCTGATTTTTCTGCTGGAATGAGACCTCTCACTTGTATCTCCTGACCCAAAGCCAGTGTGCAGGTTACCATCATCTCACCTTGATCCTCCATCTAGAAGGCCTCGGCAACCCGGATAACTACAGCATTTCCTTAGCTGACACAAAATACGATACTGAGCAAGTGGTCATTTGGGCAGCAGAACAAATGAAGCCTGGTTTCTTACGGGTGTAGTGTCTTGCATACTCTACCTCCCTACCACCACCTGATATCACCTCCTATCCATCTACAATCCCCTATAGCTCTCCACTGTTCTCCCAAGTCTTCAGGCTTCCAATGTTTCCCCCAAGCCACCCTTATCCTTTTACTCTATTTTTATACTCCAGCTGCCCACCATAGCGTCACTAAACCATCTCACCATACTTCAAGTTGTCTCTCATGTCCCCTAGCTATCTATCCCCTGTGACATACATGCTGGCTGACAGGTCCAGCTAAGCACAGCCTAACCTGGCCTTTCTGCCACTCAGAAGCAGATTCAATGATAGCACAAATCAGGTTATGTCTAATTAGCTACCTATTTTTGTGAATTTTAGAATATATATCTGTTCATACATATACATATATACGTGTGTGTGTGTGTGTATATTTATACATCCGATTCAGTTGAAATTGGCCACAGAGTTCAATAGTTATTAAATGGAGATTAAGAAATTCACAATGTGATCTCATAAATCTTCATTCCTTAAGAAGGAAGATTCAATACAGATATTTTTGTCAGTTATTTTTTACTGTTGTTAATTATACAGAAGTTTCTATATAAAAATATATAATGTATAGATATTGTATAAAACTATTTATTGTTACATATATAATATTATGTAATATATTGATGTGTATTTCTGTTAGTAAAAAAATTTAAAAGTTAAAAAAAAACAGCAAAAGTTCTTCCAACCTTTTTACTCTCCTTATTTTGCTGTTGTAGTTTAATATAGGTTAGGTTTCTGAATCAATCTGGTTTTGAAAGTTCTCCGACCTGTTTAATTCTGATGTTATATATGAGATCACAGAATTACACACTTTTGTTTTTCTGAGATATTTAAGAAAACTTTGATAGCCTTAATGTTAAAAAACCAGCCATTGCAGTCATCAGATGTTCTTCCTAACTTCCCTTAAGAAACCATTCTTATGGTGCTCATTCAGTGCAGTATGAGATAGGAGCTGAATCACGTAATGCATTTTAACGTGAAAGTAACCTGAACATGACCTTTAAAGGTCCCTTCCAACCCAAACTATTCTATGATTCTATGATACTTTAGGTTGCTGTTAAGACTCATGTGTCAAGGAATGTTTGCTTTTAATATTTTTTTTATATCATCTCTTTTCTATAAACCCACAGAGTACTTGTCAGGTTTGCTAACTCTAGACTGCACATATGAATCAGTTTCAGGTTTCACTGCCAAATGAATAATTCTGAACAATCAAGAGACCCATTCATTCCTTTCTGATGCTAAAATCGCCTCCCTTTTATAAGAAGTAAGACAGGATGTTACTTGGAAAACCTTCTTTACCTATCATTCTTCTATTAAAGCCTCTCTTCCTCTTAATCTCTCGCCCCAAATTAACTGTGTAAATGATCAGTGCTGTACACGAGCTGTGCAAGAGAGTCAGAATCTATTATTAGTTCTACTTTATACGAAATGGCTTGGATTTTGTTCATTTATATTATGAGAGATGTTAAGGAACATACTCTCATGCATTTTTGTGTTCCCTGCACACTGCTGCCACAGTCACTCTAGGTCCCCCGCACCCTTCCCAGGCTCTGCTTTGTAATCCCTTCATTCCCCTCCCCCTCACCCCAAATCCTCTTCTGGCTGACCTTGCTGTCCTTTCTTCCCTCATCAGATTGCTCTCTCTGCTACTACTTAAGGCTTATCCACAGAGAAAAGATAGTGCTCACTAAATTGCGATAACTGTGATCTGAACTTGGTGCAGCTAGCTGCTCCTCATCCCCAGCGCAGACCCTTTGAAAGGGGATTATGCTGCTTTGCTCCCAGTTGTGCGTTCAGCAGAGTGTGTTCAAGTCCTTCATGTCCAGTGTTTTCTTCCGGCTGTCTCAGCCTTCAGCAATATGAGGCAAGAGGAAATGCTTGCTTTAGAGATGTCAGCTGGAATTTAGATTTTTTGAGATGTACCTCGTTTGTGTCCATACTGGGAGTCAGTGCAGTCGCCTAGTGTACTTAAATTCATGCTTTGTTTTAGTGTAAGCAGATTTTTTTCCAGATAGACAAGCCCAGAAACTCAGGCTTCTGTTTTGTTTCTCTCTTGTTTTGTTAGAAAATACATGTTACTGAACAAATGCAGAATTAACCCCTTTCGACCCTGAAAGAATGATTGTCCCTAAACTGGGATAGTGGTTCTCAGATATGTAAAACAACTGTTGAGTATAGAAAAATCTAATCCTTCCAATTTGAATAATTTTCTCCTGCTGCTTCTTCTGTTGACTGTGTTTTCCTGGGCACTGGTCAGTCACAGGGTCCTCACAAGTGTACAGTCTGAACAGGCAAGCCAGGCAGAGAAGGGGAAGGTTAAAGTAGTAGTATCTCTATTTATAGATAGTATGGACAAGTGACAGCTGGGAATAAAGTGAATTGCCTGCTGTCTTCTAGGAAGTTGATGGAAAGGCAAGGAAAGATAAGCCAACTCTGTTGACTTCCCGTTCTGTGGTTTTTCTTCCCACCTTCTTCCACTTCAGTTTCTAAACATACCATAGATTAGAAAGGGGGTCAGACTTTTTAATGGAGATTTTGAAAATCCCTGAACTTGAGGCAGTCCAGCAATTTTGTGTACACTTGTTTTGTGCTCCATAAGAGGAATCACTCATTCATGCAACAGAAGAACAGTGGCAGCAGATAGAAGCATCTCCATGCTGCTTTCCCTCTGTTCTTTGCCTTTTTGCTTTCTTGTCTTTTCTGGGATTACCATGTTTGTTCAGAAAGTGCAATAACGCTTTCTACCTTTTTCTAGACGCATATGCATGGACACCAAGAATATTCCTCCTCACCAGTATTCCAGATGCCGAGGACTTCAGCCAGGCAGCCTTCAGCACCCCCTGCTCAACTTCCACACAACAGCCTTCAGGGCCAGGGCCTTTGCTACACCACCAGTTCCACTGAGGACCTCCAGCCCGGTCACTCTTCAGCCTCTCTTATCAAAGCTATTAGAGAAGAACTTCTACGACTTTCTCAGAAACAGACGACAGTGCAGAACTTCCATAGCTGATTTAGCATTCCCTTGCAAATCTGCCAGGTATCTGCTTCCTATGGAAGCAAAGACTTAGAGGAAATCAGCAATGTTCTCTCAAAAGAATGAACTTCCACAGTTCTGTTGACAACACTCCGGAAAAAATGAAAAAGGCAGCAAAATGAGGATAGTAAGGAGAGATGGGGGACAAACAGGGAAAATCATCAGTGTCATCACAAGTAATATTAATTAATCTGCTAATATTACGGTGCTCCTCTTCTCTCCCTACCCTCATTCAGCCTAACAAATAAATAAAACCTTAGGTCAAGAAGTCAACAATCCAGCAACAAAAAAATCACAGGAACAAACTCGAAGTATGATAGACTCCTTTTTCTAAGGAAGCAGGCGAAGGTTTGAATAAACTAAGATGACATTTTGCAAGAGATTACAAGTATTCTGAACTCTCCAGTGCTTACGGGGAACTGGTTTGTGTTGCTGTTCTGCAAGATTACAAACTGTATCAGCTCAAGGGTGTCGAAGGTGTGATCCCACATAAGAATCGCTTTGGTTGTCAGGAACAATGGGACTACTTAGAATAAAGTCTTTATGAGCTACATGTAACAAACTGGAACAATAATTGTTATAGCTCTGTGCTTCCAAATGGAGCTACCCTCTGCACTCTTCCTTGTTTTCCTTCTGGTGCTGAAGCTTCAAGTGTTCCTTCATCTTCAATGTTTGCAAAGTGAAACATTGGCCTTGTATAACTAAGAAAATATCTGTAGACTTATTCAGGCTGGAAAAACAAAGCAAAGCATCCAAACAGAAAGGGCTTGGTATTTATTTTGTTTAAGAATTATTGAAAACTAGGAGAGGAATACTCAGCCACAGTTGAATTTGAGGAAATGTGTATGTATATCTTTAAAAAATATATTTACATTCTATACGCTCTTGCAAGACCAGCGATAAAATATTGCCACTCTGTAGTTTGCTTTGTGGACAGAAACCAATCCAGCCTGACTGGTACAGGGTCACCAGCATTACGTTATAAGTTGATGTCCTAAATCATTGCTTATGTTTGGATCTGAATAATTTTAGTGAAAGTCAGTGACAGTTTAGAGCATTAACATAGGCTTAGATTTGAGGTTTTGAGACAGTTTCTATATTTATACTTGTTTCCACTGTCCCTTTGGACAAAGAGTAAGCATTATCCCCCATGGTAAGAATGGTACGTGCCATGGAACTGTTTGTTGCTGTTTTTTCCAGAGTTTTAATTTAATACTAGCTATGAATTTACTAATATTTGGCCATTGCATAACTGTAACTGACATAATACATACAAAAATTTTACTTAAGTCTTGATTTGTTGGAGTGTTTTTATTTTCAGATCAGACTGAACTAAAGCTAACAAACTGGCACAGGGATAGAGGGTAAGCTCAGTGTTTGTGAGGCGGCTTGGGAGCCTTGCCCTAGGAAAATGAAAAGCAAAACTATTTGGTGCTACAGTGTGGGTATTTCAAACACTAGTAGATGGTAGTCACAAAAGGTCTAAGGAACAGTAGTCTGCCAAAGAGATCACTGGGCAGTTGATCAGGGTAGGGCTGCATTTGCCTCGCTTGCTGGGGTAGAAATGGCATTGGTAGAATACAGGTATATAACACCGGTATGGTATGGTGGTCTTTGGCTACCAAATCTGTTCCTGTTCCAGTGCACAGTTCAATACCTGTGACAGGACTAACTCAGACTGAAATGAAAACGGGTAGGAGGACACCGTGGAAGAACCCTACGTACGTTGTTCATGAAGTGTGTACATAATATTCATTGCCAAAGCCAAAACTAGGAAGCAACTGGCTGCTCACCGAAGTGGGAAAAAAACGTGGTATGTTTCCCCTCTTTATTAGGAAGCTCAGTTATTTTCCTGTTTACCCATGATCATCAAAAGGCTGTATGAAATTGTTTTGAGGGACTTACTGTAGTGAAGCAGTCTCAATTAATTTCCAGTTCCCTGGCCAATACTTAAAGCCCTCATGGGCACTGGTTGAGGTTTGAATGGAGTCAGAAAACCGGCATGGTTGTGAACAGCAGTACCAGCAGGTTATTATGTTTTGAATTTTTGTGTGATAATCACTTCTAGGATAAAAATAAAAAAATATTTATTTTTTGCCAAGTTTGTAAACGTGAATGTTGCCAATACTTCTGCAAAATGTCAGGTTTTGCAGAACGAAGGGTGTATCAGGCAATGTTCATTTGGTCTTTTTGACAATGCTGAAGACTGTTCCTAAGTGTTCCCATTAAAACCATCTCTTTCATAGCCCACATCCTTCTCCAGCTTAATTCTGCGGTGAGGCCAGAGGCCAGTGCTTATAATACTAGCATGTTACTGTGACTTCATTTCAAGAAAATGTGGGCTTCTAGAAAGTAAGTTCATTGTCTGGCTGCTGGTTCCAGCTATTTAAAAAGGAATATGAAATAAGAGCTTTGAGAGTTAGAAGTACTTAAGCCATTTCTCATTCATTTTTGCTAGTGATGGTGGTGCTATTATGCTATTGCATCTTTTTATGTTTGGAAGAATATCCTTTTTCTTTTCAGTCCTAAATCTTACGAAGAACATGTACGGGACAAATACGTAGTGGTAAATAAAAGAGGCTTTCTGATGCAAAAATCCCTCTTTAAAACCTTATAAGTTCACGGGGAGGGACACTAAAATATAAGAAGTTGGAAAGGTATGTTTGGAAGTTACGTTCTCAAACTGGCTGGAGGCCTGATCCACTGTTCACAAAAAATGGTATGGCATAGTCTGTATCTTCGTATAGTAAGACAAGTAACACATAAGGCACCAGTTCCAAGGATGGTCTTAACAAGGAAGACCCACACTTTACTTTCTGCAGCTACAGGAAAAGCTGAGTTTTTCATGTGCTCCAAAAGGACTCTGTGGAATGCATGTGCCAAAATGTGTGTTTCCATTTGGGAATTCAGGGAAAGAAATCTCTCAGCTTCTGCATCCCCATGTGCTTGAGCTCTTTTGCCAAATTTTTTTATTGCCCTATTAAAAGGGGAGGAGGGGGACCCCAAACCTTTTTTTCTGAAACTTAAAGTATCCTGAATTTAAGTATCTGGATTAAAGTATCCTGAATTTAATGAATCTACCAGTTTCTGAAAACACTGATCAGATGAGAAGTTGGTACAGGCACAGAAAGCTGTTACCAACAGCTACATCCATTTCCATGACTAAACCATCTGGTTCATGGAATCCTCAGGCTCTTCTCTTTCCTCACAATTTTCCTTGACATTTGTGTTTAGTCTGTGTTTAGTTTGGCATATAGAAGAACTTGGCAAGATGAGAACTACGTAATTTAGCTTGGTTGGTTTGCTTTTCCTTTCCACGGCCAAAATGTTGACCTCTAGCCTGCTTCTTGATTATCTTTGGAGCTAAGTGAAATTTTATAATTATTTTTCATACGCTCAATTTGAAAGGCGGGGCACACTTCAGTACTATAAAATATTCTCTACCAGAATGTGACATGTGGTCCTGTCAGTGACTATGGGCATGTGGCTCAAGAAAGAAAACCTTGCTTTTAGGAGGAGTGAGTTGCATAGGTGCTGGACTCATAATGTTAAATATGCGCCCTTTGGAGCAGTAAGTGGAATTTCACTGACCCTTTGCAATGTACTGTACTTGCAATGGTTTGGAACAGGCTTCATATATGGTGGTTGGAGAGCAGCAGCATCACACAAGGTCTGTGTATCACCTCTGCGCCCAAAGGAGTGGTTGGCGAGATGTTGGCTACCCCAATAACATGCACCTTTATGCACACACATAAATACGTGAATAGGCTGATCACCCAAAAGTGCATGTTCCTACCAAGTGCTGAACCCGGTGCCTTTAAATTAGACCACTGACAGCAGGGTTACAGCGTTATCTTGGAAAGAGGCTGTTTACAGGGGTCATAACTTCCCAAGAACCAAACAGCTGACACTGTTGTGTGGTAACTCACGGCTTGAAAGTACATTAGATGGATTACACAAGGAAGCTAGTATGTATTTGAGCCCAAGTGAAGTCACCAGTTGTGTGATGCGGATGGCAGTAGGCAGTTGAACTCATTTTTTAACTCTTACCGTCACTACATTCTCCCCTTTTTAAGCTTCAATAATTTTTCAGCTCAAGGAAGAAACGGGCATTTCCCATTCCATGCCTTATCTAGCAGTTCTTTGTTAACAGGTGTCAGTCCTTGAAAAAAACATACCTTGGCCAAGAGCTTTGAAGCAGCAGCATGAAGAACATTTGTGACTTTGAGGTGGGAACCTGTTGTGGGCCATACTTTTGCAGAAGTAAATAAATAAATGGATTTAAAAAAAAAAAAAACAGCACCTGTTTGGTGTTTTCTGAATATGGATGTAAAGCTGAAAATGGATTAAAAGAGAAAGGATGACATGATTGTCAGAAGGTAAAGGACAGCAACCAGGTCTCCAGGACCACCTGTGACAGCGCACTAAAAAGAGAGAGAAAATCCTGAGGACTCCCCCTGCTCCCGCTCAAGCTGATTCTGTAACACAAGGCCTCTTCTGTGCAGTCCTTCGCCACTTGCAATGCTGGTCTGTACGAGTGAGGAACATCTCTCATCAGTGAGACTCCCAAAAGCAGTTCACCAAGGCTGTAGAGTTTCTCCAGGACTGTTTAGATGTGGCTAGAGAAAAGTAGCAGCTTTAAAGTGCTTAAATGTGGAAATAAAAATCCAGTACCCTTTTGTGGTGGGCATCTTTTCCCTCTTCCTGTCATATTTTATTTTAAAATGGGGGGGAAACCCTGAGGATGTATTCCAGTGTCACCAGTCTGCTGTCATTCATGCATTCCAGTATCTCTAGGTCCTAAATACCGAGGAAGCAGGAACTGGGAGTGAAAGTTTTTGGCAATGCTGATGAAGACTCACTGTAGTTATGCAGTATTTTGGTGCGAGTGCACCTGAGTGCTTGAAAAGTCTGGTATCCCTCTCCTAGCGAGTGTCCCTTGAAATGCAGCTTATGTCAGAAGGAGGACTGTAAAAATTCTCTTCTGTATCTCTGACAGTAATTCAATGAGAGCAGAACAAGCTCAGCTTGTGACAGCTGGTACCAATAGGATTGGGAGTTCAGATCCAAATGTTGGTCTGCATATTGTCCCTGGTCGCATCTGCATGACTTCCACTGAAGACCATTTAGTCGCATGTATGCTTTGGGAGGAGAATTTATCTTACAAATTCTTTAGTACAGTTTGGGATGCACTTGGCAAGATGTGTCTAGCTTTGACGTACAAGTCCCAGGGTGAGTTTACTCACTCCGAGAGTGAGAAACTTGAGAAGCAAAAATCCTGTGGAGTTGCACTGGCTTTTTAAAGAGACTTTTCCGGAGCAGAGCTGCAGTCCTGTGAATCCCACTGAAGACTGATAGATGAAAAAAAAGTTAACATTAGTACTAGAAAAATACACTTTTTTTTTGCACTTCATAGTTTGTAGAGCTGGAATGTTTTTTCTTGATTTCATGTTACTTTTTCTTGATACTCTTTACATTTAAAGTGTGTGTTTTCCTTTGTAATGGCCATTCCTGTTTAGTTTTGAGTAGTTCTTACTCCATGACTGGAAGTTTATGTTCAGGCTGTTACATCTTGCCTTAATCGGAATAAAATGTTGGCACATTTGAACAAATGCTCTGAAGATTCTGTTGAAATGAATGCTAAACCTCTGTGAATCCCTGACATGGTGGTTTTCAGGTTCACTTACAGTAATCCTCTTATTGCCACATTGTACAGCAGGCGAAGGGAAATGAGAATTAAGAGAGTAGAAGAGAGACTGAAAGATGAAAATTATTGTTTTGCATTTCCAATTATACTCTAATGTATACACTTCTTAAGAGCTCTGTTATGTTCCCATGAAAACTTCTCTAAGATTTCTGTCCCGAGGCTTCTCAGAAGTTGGTTTTCTCATCCAGGCTGTTTGAACATTTTAGTGGTGCGCATGATTTAAAAGCAGTAGCTGGATATTGTTTGTGTTTCAGGAAAAACTTCTTCATATTCAAGGAAAATTAATGCAGTGTTATATTTGGCAATGTGCTGCGCTCTTTTGGTCCTCAAATGCAGATCTGAAAGAAACGTGACTAAAGAAATAGGAATTTAAAAAATACTGCAATAATAAAAAGTCAGGAAGCTTTTATCCTCAGACTTAAGGAAACAGGAGAAAGAATTGCGGATTAGCCACTATCAGTAGTACTTCAACATAGTTGCCAAATATGAAATTGTTCCATTTCGATGCAGTACAGGGGATCTGGGCATCCACAAACTCGTGAACCCATTACTGGATTTGTTAGTCCATGCAATCCTGGATAAAATGGTTTCAGGGAAGTCGCCTTGCATTTTGCATGGAACAATGAATCCTGTCAAGCATTTCCATGGATGAGTTTGATCCTTATGATAGTTTCTGTCTTCGGGCTCGAT